ATTTTTCCGTCGTTAAGGTCCCGAGCGAACGGGAGTATAACATGTCGCGAGCTGTTAGAGCTTACAGTGGAGTGTGTGTGGAGTGGAGTTTCAATAGTGTCACTTTTTGGAATTAAATAAACACACTTCGGACATACCCAGGTTTCTTGTATTCAACAGTGAATGCTCTATAAATGTCTACATCGATTTTAAGACACTTTGTGTTACACTTTTTTGCGTTGTTTATTCGAACATTCCTAGAAGTACGTACTATTATCGAGTTACAAGCGTTACACTTGTTAGGCATTGTACCTATTCCATTAAACTAGATGCACTAAATAAGTTTGCTTCACTTCAATTGCTTTTGTTCACACAACCTTATATAAATGTGGAATAAAAATAAAATAAAAACAATTCTGTACTCTATGGGATCCCGCAAGCAGAGATATATTATACAGTCAAAACATTGTGGTCACTACATTCTTGATATGCAATGTAAAAATTTTGTCAATTACCTTTGAGTTTTACAAAGTTTTTATTAAATCACTTTCTTGTTTGTTTGTCGTTCCGGGGGGAATTTAGTGATTGATTTTAAACATAGCTCAAATTCTGATTATAATGCAAGTATATGTTAAAAAAAAACAACATAAACGTATAAATAAAGTTGAAATGTCTGTTTGTAATATAAATATAACTGACTTTTACTGAGCTGAAGGGGTTATTTGCATGACATTGAGACTGTCTGTTCAGGCTAATCTCCGAATGGTTGAACCGATACAAACTTAACTTAACAAACAGTTAGAGAGCAAAGCAAGGAGTGACTAAGCTATATTTTATCCAAAAAACTTAGAAATCTATTATGAAAAATCTAAAAATAAATGGAGATTAACGCCTTATTCATAGAATCCAACACATGTTACTAGTTATTTATAATAAACATATATAACATAACATAAACACTCACGCCTGTCACCCAGAGGGGTAGGCAGAGATTACGGACTTCCATTTGGCACGATCCTGACATACCTCTTTCGCCTCCTTTACATCCATATATCTACGCATACATGCTCGTCGGTTAAGGGTACTTCTAACGTGGCCCATTTTCAAAATATCGCCAATTTGGTCGACAAACTTTTTTCTAGGGCGTCCCTTCCCGACTCGGCCGTTCACATCTGCCATATAAATTTGCTTTGTCACTCTTTCATCATTCATTCTTTCTACGTGACCAAACCACCGAAGCATTCCTTTCTTAATCCTGGTCACAACATCATCTTGCATACCACATTTATCTCTTATCACGCAATTTCTCACCCTGTCATTCAGATTAAACCCTAGCATATTTCTTAAAGAACGCATTTCTACAGCATTTATTCTACTTTCGTGCTTCTTCTGCCACACCCAGCTTTCACTACCATACATTAACGTAGGGACTAACACAGCATTATGAATTACCATACGTGCCTGTTTTGACACATTCTGGTTCTTCATAATAGAGTGTAGTGCCCCATTCACTCTATTCCCTCTATTTATAATAAAATAAATGTATATACTTAAATTTTTTTACCTATTTTATATAGAATGAATATGCTCCTAATATTTATCGAGTTCGGTCAAAATCCCGAAAAGTTACGCTATTGTGACACATTAAAACAACATATCTCCAACTGTAGTTGACTGATTTCGAAGTTACTTGTTTGGTCGCAGACAGCGAATTCAGGTGCAAGAGGTTTTTTCCACCTGGACACCTACAGCTGCTGGTGTACCACAAGGTGGCGTGTTGTCTCCTCTCCTGTTTGCAATTTTCATTAACTCTATAAGTCTTAATTTGTCCTCTTCCTACCACTTGTATGCTGATGATCTCCAAATCTATACTCAGTCTTCTCTTGAAGATCTGTCTGAAGTGACACTATTAACGCTGATCTAACTTGTACTCGTATTTCGAACTGGAGTAAATGTTATGGTTTAACGATTAATCCTAAGAAAACCCAGGTCATTGTCATCGGTAGTTCCAGATTAAGTGGTACAATCGACTGGTCTTCCCTACCCCCTATTATACTAGACTGCACTCTAATCCCTTACAGTAACATGGTTAAAAACCTGGGGTTGTATCTTGACTCCTGTATATCTTGGACCTCACAGGTTAATGATGTCAGTAGAAAAATGTTTGCTGCGTTAAGTTCTTTACGTAGATTACGTAATTTTCTTCCCACTTAGACTATTCTGATATTTGCCATCTTGACATTACCGAGGAGCAGCTAAATCTTAACTCTTAAATTTAAATTTAAATTAAATAAGTTTGAGCGCATTCAAAATTATTTATGCATTAGATTTACATTTGGGCTTCGCAAATATGATCATCTCCGAATTTCGCAAACGATTCAAATGGCTAACATTCTCTCCTTGTTGTATAGTGTGCTGTTTAATCCTTCCACTCCTCTTTATTTAAAAAACCGTTTCCAGTATCTTTCCCTTACCCATAATCGGTTCCTTCGATCCTCCATCAATCTTTCTCTCTCTACACCTTTGCACTTTTCTTCCTTTTTTAAGAAATTCTTTACCATAACTGCTGTGCGATTGTGGAACTCTTTACCTCTCCATATTCGTCGTGCTGAATCTCTTCACTCTTTCAAAAGTTTTGTTAAATCGTATTACTTAGAACGCTATTAGATAAATTACTTTTCCTTTCTCGTACTCTTTTCATTTAATCTATTATATGATATTTTGTATATAATTTTCACTTATCTTTATTTGTATGTATTTTATATATTTTTTTATTATTATTTGTATGCCCCTCTCTATTTTAACTTTTATTTGCATAATTTCAATATATAAAAAGATAACGTAAAAAATTTATAACATTTATTTTATTTATTTACTTTTAAATATCACGCTTTGGGCGTCCTCATAAGGTTTAAAAATATTTTTTCCTTTATCAATATAATCCATTACATCGAAACGTATGTAACATTTTTTTCTCCCTATGTACTTTTGTAGAGTATTGAACACGATTTATCAGAGACATGTTTTGTTCCTGATTTTATCGTTGCGTAGAAACTAAATGACAAGTAGTATTATACCGTTACTGGATTGTAGTGGCCGGCTGCATTGTGACAGTGGTGTAATGAACGGATACTGTATATTATTATTTTGTTGCACATAGATAACAAAAGGCTAGTATTCCATAGTTAAACATTTTTTTTATAATTATATTTTTATAATGATATTAAAACTTATCTTAGTTTCAACGCTGATATTGTGTTGAACATTTTAGTTAATAACAACTAAACATGTGATATTTTTTAAAGTTATTATAGACTTATTGTTTTTATTTATTGACGAAGATCAATATTTTATACAGTACGTTTCGCGTGCACAACGTTTCATTTCTTTTATTTTTTATAATGTGTACTTGCAGTTGTTAACAATATATGAAACTACATGTACCTACATTAGTTGTTATATAATTAAAAAATCAATTAGATAACAATTAACAGATAAGAACCAAGTAAAGCTGATGACTTTGAGTATTAAACCAACTTATTATTTGCCTCAATGACTTAAATAATATCCCCCAGATAGGTCATAAAATGAATATGGACATGACAAAGGTTATGTGTAGTATCTATGTCACACCTATGTGAACCTGGGACGTGTTTTTTAACTGTTAGTGTTATGCTTGACTTTACTTTATGGGAGTATAAATCTTAGCAAGTATGTTAGGAGCGTCAGGTGCGAGAGTTCTTTCTCTTATTTATTGTTCCACTCGCATCAAACAGCTATTTAAATTTTCTTAAATAAATTTATTATATTAATTCCTTAAGGATTCCTTTTTTTAAATAAAATACAACCTTTTTCACTCACATTATATATATATATATATATATATATATATATATATATATATATATATATATTCTAAATTGAAAATTATAAATTGAAATTTATTATTAATAAAAGTAAGATTTGTTCTTTTTGTAATATTACTTTAGATAAAATATAGCTCATGTTACTCCTTGGTAAATCAATTTTTAAAATTAGTTGAGTAGTTTTAGAGCGTATCTATTGAAATCGAAAAACACTTTCCTAAATTGTTTTACAAGTTCGCATAAAATCTTTTACAATTTTAGCCAGTAAATTTGGTTTGAAGCTTAATTTTTAATATTTTATTCTTAGGGCGACTGTACAAACGTTTGTTGACAATCTCACTATCGCTCGCATGTATGCACATCCATTGAACGTAACCGCTAAAAAAATAAAAAAGGAATGAGAGGAGTCTTCGCTTACCTGTGGAACTTTGCTGTTGCTGTTTTATTTATTATGATGGTTAAATTTTACGTTTTATTCAGTGGTATAATACAAGAATAATGATAAACTAAACGGATCGAATAGCCCTGAAAGAACACTGTTTTCTAATAAAGCATATGTCCATCTTTGGGACTCAGCAACTCAAGAATGTGCGTATTCTGTTCCTTAACGGAAGACATACCTCTGCACATCCTAAATAATTGTGAACCCTTAATGCGCAAATGTAACACTTATCTAGAAATATGTGCTTCGGTCAGAAAAAGTGAAATGGTTCACAGCTAATCCACTCCGTTAATTAATTGAAGACAAAGGTCTTAGCAGTGAACTATAACTATAGCAGCGATTACAATAGATCTTACAGGTTGCAGTGATACTGTTCCTTCTAGACTTGCATTGCTGCTCGCACATAAAAGACTTGTATTAAATATAATTAAGTGAAAACTCCATCCATCCTTCCGAGACATTCCCGTTAAATTCTATATTGTTAACAATTTTAGCAAAGCTAGATAAGATAAAAGCTAGACTACACTAAAATCTATATATAAATAACGCAAGATAACACTTTAATTTTTCATTATTTCATTAACGTGCAACAATTTTTTTATTCCAGTACAATGAATGATTATATATATTATCGCATATTTGGTTACACAGCTACGATCGTAATGCACGTTACGAACTTATATTTTATGTTAAAAGGACTAAAAAAGGAAATCATGGACGACCCATTGTTGAAAGACTTCAGCAACACGCAGTCAAGATATTTTACTTGTTGGACATTTGTAAGTATAGTAAAAAAATATGCGTAGGGTATCGCAAGAGGTAACGGAGGGATATGGGGGACAATTCTTGGGGCTTCCTGGGACTGGCCGTAGCATCAAAGGTCTGGTATGCCTCTACGTCAGAGTTGCCGTTTCAGCGCGTTTCGCTCTAGATCTAGAACAATTCTGGGGTCTAGATCTAGAGCAAATCTAGTCCACTAGTCTTTTAGATATTTTTAGTACGTAGATATAAAAAAGCGCTTTAGATCCTAGAATTGTACCAGATCTAGCGCCAAATGCGTTGAAACGTTAAAACTGCTCTACGTCGTATGTACTGCTGAAAGCTCTAGTTAACACGACCGCTGAGGCATCGGGTTGAAAATATCCGATGCACAACCAGCCTACGGTGCGGCGTCAAAAATGTTCACCGTCCTGCTCGTGCTGGAACTATTTGAATAGGTTTCTTAAAAGGTAGGAGAGAGACAATTTTATCATTCAAATTGCCTTGTTAAATATATTACGTAAGCACATAAAAGATCCGATCCATCGGATATCTGATATCCATCGGATCTTTCCAACTCGATACTGATTTTAAATGAAAAAATTTCATCTAGTTCGATCATCGGGTCTAAGAGATCCGATGCCCGATGACCCGATAACCGCACTGGATTATTGATTAGTTGAACTAGTGCAGTGCTCAATGACGATGTTATAATAAACATTCTGTTCGAAAACTTTTTCTTTTGTTTTTGAATCGAAATTTTATTATAAACTATAAAATGAAGCGATCAAGACTAATGCTTTCGATATGTAAAAGCGACTCGAAAAAAAGAAGATTCCAAAGATATAGCAACAGAAACGAAGCCTCGTACCTACAGAAAAATATACCAACGGATCGGAACTGTAAAACCCACTGTTCATACAAGTCCATCGACTGGTAGTACGTTGCAAGTACTTCTACAAAATTCAGTAGAACTGCTATCTGTACCCATCCGATCCGTACCAACGACGTCACCCAATCCCCCTATCATCATCATCATCATTACAGCCCTTCACAAGTCCACTGCTGAACATAGGCCTCCCCCAAGTAATGCCACAAAGCACGGTCCTGAGCCACCTGCATCCATCGACTTCCTGCATGTCTTACCAGGTCGTCACTCCATCTAGTGGGGGTCGCCCTACACTACGCCTACCGGTACGAGGCTGCCACTCGAGAACCTTTCTTCCCCATTGGTTATCGGTTCTTCGAGCTATATGGCCGGCCCATTGCCACTTCAGCTTACTAATCCGTTGGGCTATGTCGATCACTCTGGTTTTACTGCGGATATCCTCATTTCTGAGTCTATCACGCAGAGAAACTCCAAGCATAGCCCTCTCCATAGCTCGCTGAGCGACCTTAAGCGTCCTCATACGGCCAGCAGTGAAGGACCACGTCTCAGATCCGTAAGTCATCACTGGCAACACGCACTGGTTGTACAATCTAGTTTTTAGAGATTGAGGTATACCTGACGAAAAGATATGTCGTAATTTCCTGAACGCTGCCCAGCCGAGTTGAATCCGTCGATTGACCTCTCGGTCGAAGTTGGACTTACCTAGTCGGACTATTTGTCCCAGGTAAACGTACTCGTCAACAACTTCGAGCATAGTGCTCCCAACAACTACCGGCATAGGTGTGACATGGACATTAAACATGATCTTTGTTTTGTCCATGTTCATCTTAAGACCTATCCGTTGGGAGGCACTATTGAGGTCATTGAGCATAATGCTTAAGTCCTCCAGCGATTCTGCCATAATGACTATATCGTCGGCAAATCGAAGGTGAGTGATGTACTCGCCATTGATGTTAATACCGTATCCTTTCCAGTCCAGTAGCTTGAAAACGTCTTCCAACGCAGCGGTGAAGAGTTTCGGGGATATAACGTCACCCTGTCTTACACCTCTCTGCAGTTGGATAGGTTTCGAGCTCTGGTTCTGTACTCGGATAGCCATCGTAGCCCTACTGTACAAACACTTCAGCACTTCGATGTACCGACAGTCAACTTGGCACCGCTGAAGGGACTGTAGCACCGCCCAAATTTCGACGGAATCAAAGGCTTTCTCATAGTCCACATATGCCAGGCAAAGTGGCAGATTGTACTCTTCGGACTTCTGTACAATCTGCCGCAGGGTTCTATGTCTAATGTGGTCTATGGTACTGAAGCCTTTTCGGAAACCGGCTTGTTCGGGAGGCTGGAAGTCGTCGAGTCTGCGTGCGAGACGATTCGTAATGACTCTCGAAAATAGCATGTAGACGCGGCTCAGAAGGGAAATCGGTCTGTAGTTCTTCTAGAAGCTTTGTAGCTTTCTTAAAGAACAAAACCACCGCGCTTCTGCTCCACGCCTCCGGAGTAGTGCCACCATGGAGGACGGAATTGAAGAGCTTCCGAAGGACTTCAAGTACCGGTTTTCCACCCGCTTTCAGAAGCTCCGCTGTAATTCCATCCTCGCCCGGGGCCTTGCCGTTTTTAAGGTGGTGGAGAGCCATTCTAATCTCGCTCAGACTGACGTCCGGGATGTCATCGGAATAGTGTCGGATAAGACTTGCTCTTGGATCGTTACTCACACTTACGTGTGGCTCCAACGATGATGTGTACAGCTGCCCATAGAACCTCTCAATCTCACTCAAAATCTCAGGTGTCCCGGAAACGATGTCGCCACACTCAGTCTTCAGCTTTGACAGTTGGCTCTTTCTGGCAGACAGATCTCTGGCAAAGACTTTGGAGCCCTGGTTCCGCTCGATTGCTTCTTTAATACGAGAAGTATTGAAGTTGCGTAAGTCTCGCCGCATGCATTTGGAGATCTGTCTGTTCAGTTGCCTGTATGCTGTCAAATCTGTTGACGATTGCAGCCTCATCTCCCGTCTAACAGCCATGAGATTAAGAGTGTGATCGGAGAGTTTTTGTGTTCTTCTGCGGCGGGTCTTGCAGAACTTAGCTCCGACCGGATGGACAGTTTCCACGAGCTTGTCGTTCATATCGTCCACTGCATTGCAATCTTCTAGGCACTGGAAGCGGTTACGTAACTCGAGCTGAAAGGTTTCGGGATTCTGGATTAGAGCACGAGGGGGACGGAGCGTTGACTTCATTAGACGAGACCTCTTCAACTTAACGTTAAGGTTCAGTGTGCCTCTAACCATTCGATGATCGCTGCCAGTTTTCACTCTTGCGATCGCTGAGACATCACTGAACAGTTGGCGTCTGGTTGTCATAATCATTTTTTGTCGAACCGTTGGGGCTCGACCAGGTCCACTTCCTGTGGGGCCGCTTCTGGAAGAAAGAGTTCATCATAAAGAGTCCCTTCTTCTCCATAACGTCGGCCAACTGCTGGCCCCTACGGTTCCGTTGTCCTACTCCAAATTCCCCTAACTTCAGCTCACCGCTTTCTTTTGTGCCTACTTTTGCGTTGAAGTCTCCTATCAACACCGTGTAGTGGGTTTTGGAGGAATGCATGGCTTTAGAGGTATCCTCACACATTTCCTCCACCTCCTCATTGGGATGTGCCGAGGTTGGTGCGTAAACCTATATGACCTTCAGCGAATACCGTTTGGTGATTCTGAGTATCAGGTACGCAACCCTCGTCGACACACTCTCAATCTTTACAACGTTGTTGACAAGAGACTTGTGAACGATAAATCCGACACCTCCGTGCGACAGATGGTCGCCCTCCCGGTGATAGAACAAGTTGCCGGACTTGAGGATTACCGTGTCCTCCCCCTCTATTCGGACCTCGGATAATCCTATAATATGCCAGCGCAACTTGTCTACCTCTTCTTCCAGCTCCAGTATCTTCTCGTCAGTCCTCAGGGTGCGTGCGTTATATGCTGCCAGGTCGAGTCGTCGTAGGTGGCAACCGAACCTTCACCGGAGATTCTTAGCACCACCTGCTCCGCCGTTATCATGGTCGCCACCGTAGCCAGGAATAGCGGGGCGGGAATAACTTTCTTCATTTTTTTATTATTTATTGCACTCCATAAAGAATACAAAAGGAAAAGTAAAAAAGTTAAGTTACAGCCTATTTACGTCCCACTCCTGGACACAGGCCTCCGCTCATTTCTGAGAGGGTTTTAGGGCAATGAAGTCCGCCGTGCTGCCCTAATGCCTTAATGCCGCCGGGGACTGGGGGCCGTTTGTTCGTGTCATTGCTCATGAGGGGATGTTTGCCATAGTTGCCACGCTCGGCGAACGGGTTGGCAACCGCAGTTTTTTTGTTGTACAGTTCCTGTTATCAGGAAGATCCTGCTGCCCATTTCCTGCCTATTTCACTCTGTCGCCTTTTACGACACCCACGGGAAGATATGGTGTAGTGGATATTCTTAACCGCCACTACACGGCAAATTTAATTTTTGTTGTTGTGTTGTTTTAATTCTGTCCAAAAATAAATATATTCATAACCGACTGTAAAAATCCTCAATTTAAAATTTAATCATATTGTACATTATCATTTTCATACGATAATCAAATGATTAATTTTTATTATTTATTTATATACTTTAAATTTAAATAAATGACACGGGCTTATCTCAGCATTTGCGATTAACGTAACGCTTGTTAGTAGGATTAGCAATCGCAATTACCGATATGTACATGTTTATTATGCATTAACTGGCCAAATTTGCACGGAAGGTTCAGAAAAATTAACAAAAAATCAAACATTCTCTCTTTTGCATCTAGTTAATTCAAAATGCGTAGTAATGCATTACTTTAACAAATTTTACTGCGCACGCATACATTCGTAAGGATCCATAGGTAGGCAAAATCATTGTTGCCCATAACATAAATTAAACTTGAGATAATTTCAAATTAAAGTAGAAGCCTTATTTAGTCGTATTTTCAAGAAGTGCAATAACAGTTTATCATTATTTATATATTTGGACTTAAGTTTGAAATTTGACTACTCTTTAAAAATTATCGTGTATAATTTTGGCGCTGTTCCTCTTCATTGGTTTTGGATATTTCTATCTATAAATTATTAATAAAAATATTTTTTAATATAGTTGTTCAAAAAGTGGCGTATTGCAGGGACGTATAGCGTTCGGGATGTGGGCTATTACATACTCGATCTTTTTCTTTACCTTTTCCGAACTCGTGCGTTCTCTTTTCCAACTATCAAAATAATGTCTATTAAAAAGAAAAAACCAACCACGAAGTTTTTACTAAAAAAATTCATAGAAGTTTTTATAATTCACATAAATATTTCCAAAAAGAAGCTACTAATTTGTTTCAATGTCAGCTTTAATGATTTGATTCAATGATGTTAGGTTTCATTTCATTTCATATCATTAAACTTCATTTCCATTTCATATCAATAAAAAAAATCTACTGAATACTTGGCTGTATGGGCATAGCTCCCTTTGCCTACCCAGAATGCGTGAAGAAAACAAAAAAAAATCTCTCCTTATATTTTACGGTTTGTGCCATATTCAAAAAATGTTTTTTGCGAGGTTAGTTGTTTGTTGCACAAAATAAGTAATTTCGACGATATTTTATTTGAATTAACATCACCGGAACTTTGTATAATGGCACAAAATGCTTCGTAGAACATTTTACCGGAAAAGTCAAAAGTCGCTACATATCCCACGAATTTATTGCTTTGAGAGAAGAGAAAAAAGCAAATAGATTTTTAGAAAATGTTATGTTGGTATACTTCTCCGAATTCTCAGCAAAAAAAACCTTCTACGTTATATAATATTGATGTTTTAGATGAAAAAAAGTATGCTATAAATAAGGAACAACGTAAATATAAATGAACACCCAAGTTAGTTGAGTTTATTGATTATTTTAATTGCTTATTTTTTTCGCAACTGTATTAAAAATAGTTGTTCAATACACGTACGGAACCGTCATTGCAACTTGTTCCGACTGTCAGCCCTCACCTTCGGCTGCGCCTCGGCTCAGGTAGACCTTTGTCGGAACTCTTTGCAATGACAGGCTTTCCGCACTCGTAATGTAATATACTATTCCAGATCGAAGAAGCTCTCTCTATTCCCTCACTCTCCTAGTCTAGTGAGGCGGTAATCCGACACGAGAGAGAAATCGGGCACAATGTCTTTCTCATCTAGATTTATATATTTATATTTTGCAGGCGATTCAAGTTTTCTACGCATTAATTGGGCTCACATGTGACATATTAACGCTGCTGAATTCTGGTAAAAAAGATTATAAATTACCTAAGCATTTAAGAGGATGCAGGGATACGTTATTCGCGGGTGTACTTTGGCCATCAACGCTGGTATGTACTAGTTATTTCTCATAATTTGATGATAATATCACAGATGTATTTCTCTACAATATTTATATTTTTGGATGGCATGATGGCACAGTGGTTAGTTAAAGTGTAATTTAAATAAGTTACAATTAGCTACTTGTATGACATATCATGCACTTGGGTTCACGTTTTGCTTACACAATTTAAGTGACAATCAAACAGTTCATCTCAAAGTAAGTAGCTACTGCATGAATATGTCCCTTGACACCTACAACCTACTTCAAGCGAACAATTCTACAGATGCCTTGTCACCACTGATGACTAAGTCATAACTGAGATGAAATGCTCCTCATTCTGTAATTGTACTGTTTGTCTATACAATGCAGACCGAAGCTCAGCAGTGAAGAAGTAAGTTAAATGGTGGTGATTATCAAGACGAACTCCCAGGCAAAACAGGAGTCCTGAAACCTAGTGCATTTTGGTATATACCTCAGCATTCATGCTACAGCTAAGTATCGCTAATTATGGCTTGCGTTCGCCGGCTCGACTGAGTAAAGCCACGCTTGCACTAAATACCAGCGTGAAATAGTAGCTTAGTACTTCTGTGTTATGTAAGATATTATGTCGACTGATGTTTGAAAAGAACCGGCGACCCTTTTTACTGAAAACAGAGCTCTGTAAAAGTAGCAGTAAAAAGTCAGCAGAAATCTTAAAATTGTAACCAGAAATTTGTAGCTAATTTGTTGCTAATTAAATGCCAAAATCTCTTAAAAAAATCTCTTAAAAACTTTGAATAAACCCCGCCGTAGCGGATAAGATCGGATAATTTGTTGCTAATTAGTTGCTGAAATAAAATGAAAAATAATATAAAATTCAAATTTTTTTTAAATATTTTTTTTAAATTTGAAATGTGTTTTTTATATTATTAATTAATAAAAATTAAAAATTACTAGAATTAAAGTTATATTTTTGTGGTGGTTCTAAGACTCCAAATTAATGAGTACTTGCTGCTGATCAATTAGTTAGCAATTAACAGTGGTAGAGCCACGCGGCAGCTTTGCTGTTGCACGTGTGGGCCGGCTCAAACCGGGGTGGTACCATGACCTCACAGAATACCGGCGTGAAGTGGAAGCTCTGCTTTCGCGTTTCGTCTGGTGAGTGCAGGTGGCTGGAGGCCCAAATCCCCCCCCCCCCATCAACATGGTAGCGGAATTAAATGATGATAGACTACCCCAGGAGGGTACCAGCACCGCAGGAGAATCCCTCGCTGAGCATCCACGATCATGTTTCTCCACTTCTGAGCGTGGGTGCTCAGGCTGCCCCGCGTACTCTGGGGGGGGGGGGGGCAAAATTCCGCTCAAGACTACAACTGCTCGGGGCAAACGGAGCAACAAAACCAAGGCGACCGCTGCCACGCTGTCCGTGAATTTCTGCAATATCAGGGGACTTCACTCTAACCTAAACACCGTCCACTACCATCTCGAGACGGCGAGGCTGGCTCTGCTCTTTCTGACCGAGACGCGGGTGTCCTCTCCGGCTGATGTCTCGTATCTCTCCTACCCGGGGTACAAACTGGAACACTCCTTTGTGCCTCGGGCTGGAGTTTGCGTTCACGTCAGAGAGGACATCTGTTCTCAACGCCTCGGCAGACTTGAAGGTTCGGACCTGTCCATCCTTTGGCTACGCGTAGACAGTGACGACCATCCGCGCATCTACGGGTGCCTCTATAGGTCCCATAGCGGTAATGCCGAAACAGACCGACTCTTCGACCACGTCCAAATGGCTACAAATTCGTTGCTACAGCAGATCCCCTCCGCAGAGATCGTGATCCTCGGCGACTTTAACGCCCATCACGCCGAATGGCTTAGTTCACGTTTAACCGATCATGCGGGGAGATCTGTTCATGATTTTGCCTTGGCATATGGTCTGACACAACTAGTTACTTCGCCTACGCGGATTCCAGATGTGGAGGATCATGCACCTTCCCTGTTGGACCTTCTGCTGACCTCTCACCCGGACGGATATCAGATTTCCGTTGACGCCCCTTTAGGCTCCTCGGACCATTGTCTTGTTCGGAGTGTGGTGCCACTCACGCTGAAATCGCAGTTGCAATCTGCAGGCTGCCGCCGTGTTTGGCACTATGGGTCAGCCGATTGGGATGGGATGCGGTCTTTCTTTGCATCCTACCATTGGGGGCGGGTTTGCTTCTCGCTGGACGATCCCAACGTTGTTGCGGATTCTGTCACTGATGTGGTACTTCAGGGTATGGAACTTTTTATTCCTTCCTCTGTGGTGCCCATTGGAGGCAAATCTCAGCCATGGTTTGGTCGCTCCTGTAAAATAGCATCATGCTATAAGCAGGAGTGCTACCAAGCCTGGGCTGACGCATCAGCATCCCGGGATGTAAACACCAGCGCTCTAAAAAAGAAGTATAATGCCGCCTCTAGGTCCTTCAAAAAAGTCATTGCCAAGGCAAAGTCAGAGCACATAGGCAGAATTGGTGAGAAACTAGTCCGCCTTCCTTCTGGACCCCGTGCATTCTGGTCTCTCGCCAAGGCTGTTCAGGGGAATTTCTGTCAGCCATCTTTTCCATCTCTGCACAGGGAGGACGACTCACTGACCCATACCGCAAAGGAGAAAGTCGATCTGCTAGGCTTTTTCTTTGCGTCCAACTCGACTTTAGATGACGGGGGGAGTACACCGCCGACCATCCCGCGGTGTGAGTGCTCCATGCCGGAAGTGCAGTTCACACAGCACTCGGTTCGTAAAGCACTCCTCTCCCTGGACATCCACAAGTCGAGTGGGCCTGACGGAATCCCCCCAATTGTGCTGAGGACGTGTGCTCCAGAGTTGGCATCGGTTTTAACGCGTCTTTTCCGGTACTCCTACTCCCTAGGCGTAGTCCCAAAATCATGGAAGACGGCTTTCGTCCACCCGATCCCTAAAAAAGGCGATCGCTCAGACCCGTCCAACTACCGGCCTATCGCCATCACCTCCTTGTTCTCCAAAACAATGGAGTCAATTGTAAACTGCCAGCTCATGAGGTACCTTGAGGATCACCAGCTGATTAGTGACCGCCAATACGGTTTTCGCCGTGGTCGGTCAGCTGGTGATTTATTTATTTATTTATTTTATTCTTTATTGCATCCTTAAACAAAAGAATACAAAGGGCGGACTTAATGCCTTGAGGCATTCTCTACCAGTCAACCCATGGAGTGGTGAGAATTTGATGTAGGTGTGGCAATAAGAGAACAATATACAAATGATAATTAACTATATAATATATACAAACTACTAATAAATAAACTATACATTTATGGTCTATACTTACATATATACAAATATATAAATAAATGGATATACATACAAGTATATATATATATATATTTAAATACATACATAATTAGTATATACAAATGACTATGAATATATACGTCTGTTAGCAATACATATTAAATAGATGAGTCATGTAAAATGCATTGTCTTTAAGAAATGATCACGGACCAACTTTTTAAAAGTGTACTTATTGGGAGCTTTTCTGATGTCATCGGGCAAGGAGTTCCAAAGGCGTGTAGCCTGAATTGTGAAGGAGTTACCATAGAACTCGGTGAAGTGAATTGGAGTACAGATTTTGTTGTTAGAAGAAGAGCGTAGGACCCTATCATGAGATGAAGAAAGATAATGAAATTTACTCTTAAGATAAGAAGGCGAAGATGGATCATTTAATATGGAAAAAAGTACAAGTAATATTCTGGAGTTGCGCCTCTGCCGGATTGTAAGCCAATTTAGCTTAGATCTGTATTGAGAAATATGATCATACTTACGAAGCCCAAAGATAAATCTTATACAGTTATTGAGGAGGCGTTCCAGCTTGTTCAGAAGATCTTGGGACAGGTCTGGGTAACACACATCTGCATAATCAATTGTGGGTAATATAAGTGACTGAACAAGCATGATCTTAGATTTTGTGGGAAGAAAATGTTTTAAACGATACAGAGAGCATAACGTGGCAGTGACTTTACGACTCACATCTGAAACCTGAGTTCTCCAATTCAGCGTGCTGTCGATGTGAAGGCCAAGATTTCTAACAGAATTACTGAAAGGAATTGTAGTATTATCATAGTAAATAGGAGGTAAGTCTGTCAGATTAATCTTAGCCAGCATCCTTGATCTACTCACCAGTATAGCTTGGCATTTCAAAGGATTGACCAAAACTCCATAACGAGTAGACCAATCCTTGATAGCTGCTAAGTTGCCGTTAAGGTTTTTGATCCCATTATGGATATCCCCAATCTCAGTTTGCACATAAAGCTGAAGGTCATCGGCATATAAATGGTACGAGCAGTCGATGATAGAGGTAATAAAGTTTATAAAAATTGAAAACATTATAGGAGAAAGAATACCGCCTTGCGGCACACCAGCATCCACATCAGCCCAAGCTGAGGACAGTTGCCCCACACTGACTGACTGCTGTCGACCGCGAAGATAAGATGCAAACCAATCCAATTCAGTAGGGCCAAAATTAAGATGAGACAGTATGGAAAGAAGGATTTCATGATCAACTGTGTTGAAAGCATTTGAGAAATCAACTAGTACCAGTACTGTTATTTTTTTTCTTCCATGCCTTGTTTAATATTATCAATAACATTAATTAATGCAGTAGTGGTACTATGACCAGGACGAAAACCAGACTGATATATACTCAGTAGGTTATGTTTCGAAATAAAAGTAGAAATTTGCTTGTAAACACAGGATTCTAAAATTTTGGAAAGAAAGGGTAGAATGGATATTGGACGAAAATGATTGGGATGAATGGGAGTAGGAACTTTTGGGAGAGGCTTTACAAAAGCCCTATTCCAAAGATTAGGATACTGACCTAAACCAAGGGAAAAATTGATTATATGGGAAATTGCCGGGAGAAGGTGCTCTAGTATAAATACAACCATATGTCTACTAATCTCGTCGTAACCCACGGCTTTGGACAGGATTGCTAAAATCGACTTTTTGACATCATCCTGAGAAACAGGAGAAAAATTAAGGTAGAATGTTAGGAATTTGCATAGAAGCAATGGAAGCCATAGTTTGGGAACGAATTGTAGGGTCCAATGCTTTTACAGAAGCGAAATGTTGGTTGATTTCATCAAGTGACACAGAAGGACCACAATCCAACGTAGCTGGTCTACAAAGACCGAAAGATTTTAGGAATTTCCACACTAAAACTGGAGAAGAATTATTAATACAGTTATGGAAGTATCGGCGTTTAGCTGCACGTACCATCTGATTACACCTATTCCTGGCTGCTTTAAAAGATGTCCAATTTTCTTCAGTTCGATCTCTCTTGAAACGAAGAAAAGCACGATTTTGTCTAGCCATTGCCATCTTTACGCCCTCTGTCATCCAAGGGGCAGGGGGACGCTTCAATCTAACCTTGTGAACAGGAGCATGAGCATCATAAAGGCTAAGAATATTGTGGTTAAGGATAGTGACTTTATCGTCAACAGTAGATGCTGCTATTAAGGAGGCTAATGGGATCAAGATTAAGAGCGTCATTCCTAAGCTTGTCATAGTCTATTTTAGAAAAACTGCGAAGATGCATTACAGTAGGGGAATATTTAGGAGGTTTAAGCTTATACGATACATAAATTAAGTCGTGGCGTGAGAAACCCAAAGCGGGTAACTGTCCATGCATCATCACATGTTCAGGAGAAGCAGAAAGTGATCTTCTGGTCTACCTAACTCACAGATGGGCGGAGGCATTAGAGTTCAAGGGGGAGGCATTGGCCGTTAGTTTGGACATTGCGAAGGCCTTCGATCGGGTTTGGCACAAAGCGCTTCTTTCGAAGCTCCCTTCCTATGGGCTTCCCGAGAAATTGTGCGATTGGATCACCAGCTTTCTTGCAGATTGGGGCATCAAGGTCGTTGTAGACGGTGCAAGCTCCGATTGCAAGCCTATTAATGCTGGTGTTCCACAAGGCTGCGTGCTATCGCCAACGCTGTTTCTTCTGCATATCAATGATATGTTGCAAACCCGTAACATTCATTGCTATGCAGATGACAGCACTGGTGATGCTCTTTACACCGGCCGAGCCAATATTTCTCGGGAAAACGTCTCCGAGTGCCGGGACAAACTTGTGTCTGAAGTCGAGTCTTTGCTGAACAGAGTCTCGGATTGGGGGCGACTAAATCTAGTCCAGTTTAACCCCCAGAAGACACAAGTTTGCGCGTTAACCGCTAAAAAGAACCCTTTTGTCGTATCTCCTCAGTTTCAAGGCACTCCCCCTGTTGCCTCAGCCAGTATCGGAATCCTCGGCGTCGACATATCGAGTGACGTGCAGTTTCGTGGTCACTTGGAAGAGAAGGCCAAATTGGCCTCTAAAAAGCTTGGTGTGCTCAGCAAAGCGGGACAGTATTTCATGCCGGCACACCGCCTGCAACTTTACAAGGCGCAGGTTCGGCCACACATGGAATACTGTTCCCATCTCTGGGCTGGGGCTCCCCAGTACCAGCTCCTTCCACTTGACCGAATCCAGCGCAGAGCGGCTCGAATAGTCGACGACCGAGTGTTTTCCGATCGGCTCGATTCACTGGCACTGCGAAGAGATGTTGCATCTCTTTGCATTTTCTTTCGCATATACCATGGAGAGTGCTCTGATAAATTGTTCGGATTAATCCCAGCCGCCAAATTTCATGAAAGCAACTACGCGGCAAACGTCGCGATACCATCCACATCATCTGGATGCTTGGCGGTCCACCACTGTACATTTCAAGAGGAGTTTTCTTCCGCGTACAACCTCTCTGTGGAATAGTTTACCACCAGCGATTTTTCCGGACCGATACGACCTGGGGACCTTCAAGAAAAGAGCGTACTCCTTTCTAAAGGGCCGGCAACGCACCTGCAATTCCCCTGGTGTTGCGGTTGATCATGGGCGGCGGTAGTCACTTAACATCAGGTGAGCCGCATGCTCGTTTGCCCCCTCTTCTATAAAAAAAATTATTTGTGTACATGCTAAAATTACATATAAATTTTCGGTAGATTTAAAAAAAAGACGGCAGATATTAAGTAACTGTTCAGTTATGGAAGCAGTGAGTCATAAAGAGCCAGCAACAAAATAAAATCGATTGATAAGATTGACGAAGTAATTAGTTAGTAATTATTTGTTTACTTGCTTTATTTGCTAGAAAATTTTTGAAAAATAAATGGCAGATATTTTGTCACTGTTCAGTAATGAAAGCAGCGAGTCATAAATGGTCAGCAACAAAATAAAATCGATCGATAAGCTGCACCAAGTAATTAGTTAGTAATTATTTGTGTACATGCAATATTTAATTAGAAATTTTAGAGCAGCAACAAAATATCTGCCATCTCTTTTTTCTAAAATTATTACGTAAATATAGCATGTACTTAAATAATTGCTAAATAGTTACTTGGTGCAACTCATCAATCGATTTTATTTTGTTGCTGGCTCTTTATAATATAATTAAATAAAATATTTATTGGTCCGACAACAAAGATTCAAAGTGGTTAATAGATACAATAGAAGCTTAATGTCTATGTTAGTACTTAATAACTAAGAACGCGCGAATTATAGCACACATATGATAATGCTTACATAAGGCTTTGCAGAATTATATGACGGCTGTCACGGATTCTACGCAATAGGGAACCTGCTTTATTACTCAAAATAGCCGGGAAAATGTCGACTTGCGCATCCGCAAACATACCAGACACACTACAAAAACGCGGCAGCCGCAAAAGCACCCATAAAGCAATATTATATTGAATACAAATGGCGCTGTATGATTTCTATGTGTATCTGACCCACAGACTACCCGAATAAAATGATGTGCTTTGAAAAGTGTAATTTTTACTGTGTCAGAACAACGATAAAACCTATGGGCTAACATGTTCGCCCTAATCCACAGCGCCCTTTGCTCCCTTTCCATGTCAGCATCATCTTTGAGATCATCAGTAACAATATGCCCCAGATACTTAAACTGATACACCCTACTAAGAGGTAAGCCATACAGGCAAATAGGGGGCACTTTACCAGGACACTTGCTACCCGCCTTGAACACCATGTACTCACTCTTTTTAGTGTTGGACAGTAATCCATGCAATGTTGTACAGTAATCTTTATGAGTTTCTGCTTCAATTAATGAATAACAACAAAATATCTACCGTTTTTTGTCTAAAAACTTCTGTAAATTTATCATGTACGCAAATAATTGCTAACTAATTGATCAGCAGCAAAATAATCATTAATTTGGAATTTTAGAACCATTACGAAAATACAACTTTAATTCAAGTAATTTTTTATAATATAAAACACTCAAAAAAAGAATTTTTGAAATTTTTTATATTATTTTTGTATTATATTTCAGCAACTAATTAGCAACAAATTATTCGATCTTATTCACTGCGGTGGAGTTTATTTAAAGTTTTTACTGCTATCTTTACATTATGATATCAGTAAATCAATTTTCTCAAAACCGGTTCGAGCAACAAAATCGCGATTTTGGCAACTAATTGGCAACAAATCAGCTGGAAATTCCTGAATACAACTTTAAGGCTTCTGCTGTCTTTTCACTGCTATCTTTATAGAGCTTGGAAACAAGGCAATAGAATGTCTTAGTCTTAAGCTGTGACGACGCATATGATTTTTTTACCAAGTTTAAACTTAAGACTAAGAAATAAAATGAAAAAATAAAAAGAAGGTGATGTCGCGGACGCGTCGGTGCAGTGATCAGCTGTTGCTTATAATTTAGTGAATAAAATTGCTAACGCAGTATTCTAAGCTTAAAGTTGATTTATTTCATAGTTAATATAACACTAAATATATCAGTCAGTGTTTTGCAGTAAATTGGTGCAGTTAATAAACTAGTGAACATAAAAACAAGTGAATTAATACAATTGGTTTTGTTTGTTATTTGCCAGTTACGTTCACTCGTACAACTTAATTATTTGACTTACCTATATATTTTTTTGCTGCACACACCTCCGTACTTGTTACATACCAATAGTATATACCAGTGCCATTAGTGGCTGAGTGGAGTATATAAGATACATAAACAGCTTGAACTGTACTTCTTAAATATGGTTAAATGTGGAGCTTGTGGTAAATTCCTTTCTACGGCAAAGGCCGTTAAATGCGGACAATGTCCAGTACTATATCATCGAGCTTGTGTTTGAGTCTCTGACCGCTCTAAGATCCATGAACGCTGGCAATGTCCAGAGTGTAAAAAGATTGTGCCAAAGGGAAACAACTCTTCTACTCCAGTTATTGGTGCGACGGGCATGGTTGCCGAGAGTGAAATTTTAAATCCTGCAATCTCCAGAACAAGCAGTGACTCAGAAAAAACTGCAACTAGCTCCCCTGAGTCTTTTCATTGGGAACTGATTCCAGAAATTCGACTTTTCAGGGAGGAATTATGTAGGGTCAGGAAGGAGCTAAAAGACTTTCGGAGGGATATGGTTGAACTACGGGAATCTTTAGTGATGAGTAATAAGAGAATGGATGAAATGGAGAGCAGGATTAGTATTCTAGAACAGAAGACTCAAAGCAACAGCTTTGAGTCTTCTGTTCTAGAATACTATAACAGGTAAGTCGAAACAAATGAGCACGAACGAACCGTGTCCCGACTTACGCGTGAGCTTAATGATCGGGAGCAGGAGTTGCTTGTAGCCGACCTTGAAATCACAAATATTCCGGAAGAGAGGACAGAAAACATCACTCATACGGTCGTGTTGGTGGCTGCAAAGCTGGGAGTATCGCTGGACGAGAGGGACATTATTTTCGCGGATTGTGTAGGAACAAGGAAGCAGGGCGACAATGCAGATGGAGATCTGGGCCACGGGCGTCGAGTGGTGGTGCGTCTAGCGCGCCGCCAGCTGCGCGATGAGTTATTGCGAAGCGCAGGCGTGCGGAGGAATGCTACCACCTGGAGGTTTGCCAGATCCACTTTGTCGCTTCTATATTAATGAGCGTCTTTCAAAAGCTAATCGCCAACTATTTTACCGAGTACGAGAGGCAAGAAGGCAGCTACGGTGGAGATATATATGGACCAGATATGGTAGAATCTATGCTCGCCAGGGAGATGGGAAGAATGCTTATTGTATCCGATCTGAGGCAGATCTGATCCGTGTTTTTGGTAACGATGCAGTTAGGCCACTTTCAAATTAGTTTTATAACATTACTCTTTTTTTATATTATTTATATTTGTACATACATGCATATAAAAAAAATCATGAATGTACCTCTGGTTGTAACATTTATACTTTTTTTAGTAATGTTCTTCTGTACGTAACTTTTAAACGGTGTGTAAACCTTTTGATTTGTTACGACACTTGTGTTCACTATAGAATTTATATTTTATTTTATCATCGGTCAATAGGTAAATTAGTTTTTACGTATATTATGCATAAGCTAAAAAAAATATTCCTTTGTTAATTTTGTAAAAATAAATTCGTATATCTCAAGTTATATCTGAGCCTACACATCACAGTGAAACACTCATTGATTTGGTATTCCTATACAGATCACAGTGAAACACTCATTGATTTGGTATGCTCCGGCATTAGTGTTTCTAACACAACAGTTTCATATATACCACAATTAGGGCAACACGCAGTGATATCCGTTCAATTTCTAATAGAAAAAGATAAGTTTATTACACGTAAGGCTTACATTCGTCCACTTAAGCAGATTTTGGTAGACTATTTTAATGCAGATTTAAACAGTATTGATTGGGATAGTATTTTATATCTCAACAATGTTAATGATATGGTAGCAAAATTTAATTCATATATAATAACGCTTTTTGACCTTCATGCCCCAAATAAATTAGTGCGATTAAAAAAACAAACTCACCCATGGATTACTGATACAGTTAAAATTATGATGAGGCATCGAAACCACTATTTCATGCGATGTTTAGGCCTTATCGGGACTTTAGAAATAAAATGAGTGGACTGTATTAACAATAGGTTTAATGCCGTAAAACCTCTAAACAAACATATTATAAATTGAAAAATAAAGTGCCCGTCTGCTACCGCGTCTCGCCGCTGAGTGAGGTACAGAAGCGCTCGCGCTGCCGCGAGGGCAGCGACCGGTCCGCGCTCCCACGCGTCCATCATTTTGGCGGAGGCACGATGACGTGCGCCGACATATTCCCCGGGTTGAAGAGACGTCTTCAATCTTCAATTGATAGAGGGCAGATGCAGTTAACAGCACGACGAATGATACCTCGCTTCGTCTTCAACTCAGCCACTCGCGTGACTCCGTCTACGCCGGGATAGGTCGTCAGGACCCGACCCAGTGACCAGAGCAGCGGTGGTGTTGTTTTGTCCTTGATAAGAACTAAAGACCCCGACTTCACTTCATCCCTGGAATGAAACCACTTGGATTTGGCCTCCAGCAGAGAGATGTAATCATTACGAAAGCGGCTCCAGAAATGCTGTCTGATGTACTGTGTTCTCCTCCAGCGATCCAGTCGCGTGATGTTGGCATCATTCACTTGGGAATGTGGTACAGATAAGAGTGGTCGTCCAATCAGGAAATGAGCGGGAGTAAGTACCGAAAAATCGTTAGGGTCTGAAGAGAGAGGAGTAAGAGGGCGCGAATTCAAGACCGCCTCTATGTGCGTAAGACAAGTAGCCATCTCCTCAAAGGTAAAATGGGTAAGCTTTAAGAGTCTTTTTAAATGATGCCTGCAAGATTTAACAGCAGCCTCAGCTAGTGAATTAAAATGTGGGCTGTAAGCAGGCGTGAAAATAAATTCGATACCCTGTTGTGCTATTTCAGGTGCAACACTCGATAAAGAACCTATGCATTTCATTTGATGTGCCTACGAAATTTGTCCCGTTATCGGACGTAATGCTTTGAGGCTTGGCTCGACGCGCCACGAAACGATTTAGAGCGGCCATGTAAGCCTTAGAGGTGAGGTCAGTGACGAGCTCCAAATGTACGGCTTTTACTTCAGAGCAAACAAAAATGCATATATAAGATTTTGTAAGTTTGCAGCCGCGACCTCTGCGATCGGCCACCAATACTGGCCCAGAGTAGTCAACATAACAATTTAAAAATGGAAATTCAAGATGAGTTCTTGACTGAGGTAGTTGACCCATTATAGGCTGAACGCTTTGAGCCTTATGTCTGAAACACTTAAGGCATTTATTCACGACATTTCTGGAAAGGTTTCTACCACCTATAGGCCAATAAGTCTGCCTTATATGTGACAGTAGTAATTGAGTACCGGCATGTAGTAGCTCTAAATGTTTCATTTGAAATATAAGCTTAGTAAGTATGTGCTTACTACATATTATTATGGGAGGTTTTACACTGAAATCGTAGGGGGAGTTATCGAGCCTCCCGCCCACGCGGAAGAGGTTATGTTCGTCAATGAACGGAGTTAAAGAAAGCAATCTACTATTGCGTGGCAATTTTTGTTTAGATTTTAAAAGATGAAATTCTTCAGAAAACATTTCTAGTTGTGAATAATGTATTATTACATTATACGAATCTTGGAGTTCTGTTACGGAAAGATCGCAACACAATTTATCTTCATTTTTTGGATTATATATAAATCAATCTTTGTACATATGCAAACATCCTTTGAATTTTTGTAAAACTAGAATATTTTTCTAATAAGCGATGAATGATAGATGAATATGTGGTTGAATGTGAATGATTACTAACAACATGATGGTCGCTATCACTACATGTGAAATGAGTCACTACATCCGGCAAATCATGTTTCTCTGTGTTGGCATTTCAGGCCACTCATTTTCATTACGCAACAGAAAAGAGGGCCCGTACCACCTCAGAGGTGTGCCGTTAATAACGTCAGCGTTAAGACCACGGGAAACAAAATCCGCCGGGTTGTCCTTCGACGGTACGTAGCTCCAGGTATGACCACAAGTATTCTCCTGTATCTCGTTGACTCTATTTCTCACAAAAGGTTTTAATTGGTTGGCTGGAGTAGAGGCCAACCCAAGACTATGGTTGAGTCACACCAGAATCTACATCGGTGAATGGGTAAAGTTAACGCTTCCTGAACTTTAGTATACAGCCTGACACCTAGCAAAGCTCCACACAGTTCAAGCCTTGGTATTGTTGACGGCTTGATGGGCGCTATACGATTTTTAGAAACGAGAAGTTTTACGCCAATAGATTTACTGTTACTGCATGACCGAATGTAAACCGCCAAGTTTTTCGGACGCACGGTGAAGACGTGTACTTCATGCGTACTGGAGTCTTCACGCAAAATCCAACGAGGAATCTTTAAATTATTTAAAGATGTTATTGTATTTTTGAATGTCGACCAAATGTTTCTGACTTCTAGCGATACTTCGTCGTCCCAGTCATAGTTGTGTAGCCATAAACGCTGCATGACTATTTTCGCTTCGACAACGCATGGACCTACGAGGCCTAATGGGTCAAAGATCTGACTGATAACTGAGAGGACGTGACTTTAGTGACTTTAGTGATTGACTTTATGTTAATATGTATAAGTAAGGGAATCAGAATCGCAGGCCCAATTAAGACCTAAAGGTTTTAGATTGAGATGAATTTAAACCCTGCTCATTGTTAGGGTCCTGGGACGTGGTTAAAATGAAAGTGGACTGTATATTCTTATAGGGCTGATATAATCATCTTTACTTTACAATAACCCGGTCTACTTAATAAAATTATTATTATAAATTAAATTAGTGTTGTCATCCGACCGCGGTGGAGTATCGTAAAGCGAGTGGCCGCCGCGTCGCTGCCACCCGACCAGACGTCGACGTGTCGTCCTCCCGCGCGTCTCCACCCGCGCGTATATGCAACCGGTTCCCAACATGATCCCCGGGTTGAAGTGTGCAGAGAACTTCAAAAATCTGGAAGGGGACAGATGTTATTAAAGGCCCTTCGAATTGTGCCTCTCCTTGTCTTCAACTCGGCGACTCTGGAAACGCCGTCGCTGCCAGGATAGAGCTGCATGACTCGTCCTAAGGACCACATCAATGGTGGGAGAGCTCTTTCCTTGATAAGAACAAGAGATCCCAATTTCAGCTCCTTGGTCGACGACTGCCATTTCACCTTTTGCTGGAGTAGAGTGACATACTCTAGTGAAAATCGGCTCCAAAAGTGCTGCTTTATAAGCTCGATTCTCTTGAATCGATCAAGGCGGGTTATATTCGCATCACCTATTTGTGATTGAGGGATAGCAATTAGTGAGCGTCCAATCAAAAAGTGGGCAGGAGTCAATGCGGAGAAATCTGAGGGATCAGTGGAAATAGGGGTGAGGGGCCGAGAATTCAAAACCTCTATTTGATCACTCAAATTTTTCAATTCAAACTGCCTCACGGCATGTAGCCATTTACTCATAAGTTAAATGAGTGGTTTGTAATAAACGCTTAAGACGGTGTTTTGTAGAGCGTACTGCTGCTTCAGCTAAGCCATTAAAGTGAGGGGTATAAGCGGGAACAAATTTAAATTCGATGCCTTCTTGAGCCATTTGACCTTCAAGTTCCGATTGAAGAAGATATTGAGCCAGCTCGTTGCTTGCACCAATAAAATTCGAACCGTTATCTGACGTGATGCTCTTGGGCTTTCCGCGAC